GCAGATCAGACACAAGCAGACAGTCAGACAGACTCAGTGGTGAGCGTCGCTGACAGTGAGCAGCGGTGCGCATATGATCAAGGTGATCAAGGTGCTTTCACTGGCTATTGTATTTCAAATACAGCTTATTTCAGTATCGCACCGGCATTACTGCCCCCCACAGGCTGTACACATGCATTGGTGTCACGCCATACGCGACTGGCCCTCAGTTATTGCGTTTGAAACGCAAAACAAGGCATAAATTGCGTACGTTGTCTGCGACGGGACTGCGATAGAGACAAAGCACATGATTGTGGAGGTGATGGCCGTTAACTAAACGACTGTCCAAACAGACTATATATGCACTCAATTGGCGTCACTATTGGACGGACACAGCGATCGGCGAACGGTTTCGCTGTCTATATCTACTACTCATTAATACAGCGATTGTTATATTTAGCGATCATTTGACGCGTTTGGCGTTCAGTACCACGTCTTGGGATCAGTTGTCGTGGTGTTTGTGTCCCTCGGCATCCCATAAGCCGTTTGTGAATTCATTTTATTTAATCTTTTTGACTATATTTTACGCCAAGTTTTGTGACCGAGAGTTGATTTGAAGGTAAAGTTTTTGGTAAACTATAAGCCATTTGGAGATTACGATTGATCACTGGATTAACATTTCGTTTGCCACTTGTTATAGATATATACATCTGAAGGGATCTGATCCGCTCGCTTGTCTGTGCGCCCAAGCAGTGGCCACCAAATTGACTGTTATATCGGTGTCTGATCTCGTGGTGACCGCAATGGAGGGCAACAATAGGCTGCGATCGACTAATTTCAAGAACAAAGGCAAAGACGCGGAAGAGATGCGCCGAAGACGTAATGAGATGAGCGTCGAGTTAAGGAAAAACAAGAGGGACGAGACGTTGCTGAAGAGGCGCAACGTTCCCGTCGACTGCGACGCCTACTCCGAGACGGACGCCGCCAACGACTACATTAGTCTGCAGTCGATTGTGGTGTCGGCCGCCAGTGATAACATCGACGAGCAGTTGAACGCCGTGAAGGCCGCCCGCAAACTAC